CATAAAGAATTCAGGAAATACTTTGGCATAATGAAACATCAAATATACCATAGTTGACAGATAATAATGACAAGAAGAATATAAAGAATATAATAATACAAATACATGTATATCCTCTTTTTTTCAACTTCGCAAATCATAAAGAATTCAGAAAACACAAGAAGGGAACGATGAAATAACGAACATGCACAAAGAAAATGTAATAAACAGGAACTTTTACTTCCAGTGATGTCTACGAATCCCTGGACAGACAAAGAGAAAACAAAATCAAATATCTCTTAGTCTCTACAAGAAGAAATAAAGAGAACAAAAGAACAAAAAAGAAAACGAAAGAGAAAGAGAGAAACGTAAAGAATAGAAGAAACAGAGAGGACAAAAAATAAAGAGAAAGAAGTAGAAGAAATAATTCTACTTGTCTACCCAAGGAAAAAAATCCTGATTGTTTACGATTATGCTTCAAAGTCGCATCCTCGTCTCACAGGACATCTCCCCCAAAAACCTTACACACTATTTCACAAACATTTTAAGCAGTATCACGTTTTACAGCTTTGATGATCGTGGACACGTATCGAGCACTCGTCTGTTCCTCCAGAAAGAACAGCATTATATTGCCTCTTTTTAGTATTAAAGATATTTATTGTTAAAAGGATTTTTTTTTTTTTTTGCTGTATTTCTTTTTTTTTCGGTTCTCTGTAGAATCAGCGTTGCTCAATCGTGTCCATTATATATTAACACTAGACGGAGCACCAATCAGCACAAATCATAGAAACAGAAGCAAAAAAAGCAAGATTTTTGTTCCTGTGTAAATCCTGCTACCATAGTGAAACACAAATCCGCACATAATGCTCATTTAGAAATTTACAAAAAGCTTTTTTTTTCATCATATATACACAGCCGAACATTCGCTAATGCATCAAAAGACCAAACAAAGAACTGGGTATCTTTCACCTTGTGACAATATCATTCACTGAATTTGTTTTCCCTTTTTATCAAAATCATATAAAAAAAACACCTAGTTCCTAGCAGGCAAACTCATATTTCTTAATTTAACATATTTACATGGACAATAAACCTATATACATTTTGTACATCTACGTGTCTGCCAACCAACATACACATGGTTCAAAACACATGCAGCGTACACTGATGCAAACACAATAATTTCTCCTTAGCTTACAACCTTATCGGTATCGGCCGTGAACGTAACAGCTAATATGAAAGACCGGTAGTTCGACCATACAATTGGTAATTGAGATCCATCGCTTGTTCGGACTAAAGCTACACCAAGTCCCGCAGGCAACTCGAGTCGCCCTCGGTATAGTAAACTTAACGACTAAGCCAGCGTGGTGAAGAGAGAGAGAGAGAGAGAGAGAGAGAGAGAAGAGAGAGAGAGAGAGAGAGAGAGAGAGAGAGAGAGAGAGAGAGAGAGAGAGAGAGAGAGAGAGAGAGAAGAGAGAGAGAGAGAGAGAGAGAGAAAGGGAAGAGGGTTCTCAAGGACCAACTCCCTCTATTTTGTACAAAGAGGAACACATTTCCTTATAATTTTTTCTCTCTCTCTTTCTTTTTCTGTCTTTTTACTTTCAGTGTCTGTCTGTCAGTCTGTCTATTTGTCTCTCCAAAAGCCTCCACGCTGGCGAATTCCTTACACGCTAACTGGGCAATGCAACTCTAGGACAGTGAAAGACATGTGGATAGTGACGGGTAAGCGAACCACCCGGGTTTTAAGGTCACTCCATTATACACTGTATAAAGAGGACACTCTGAGGACTCCTGCCGAATCCTTGTTAGACCCGTAGGATGTCCTCCGCGTTAACACTAGCAGTACAAGAATCGAATGAACTTCCAAGCTAAGTAAAAAAGGAGCTTGAATCCTTTTAGAAAAAAAGTCCCTATCGCTTAATCTACTCTTTACAAAATCTACAATTAGTGCATTCCTCTCTTAAAAAGAAAAGCAAGTTGGCAGTTGTCTTTTTTTTTGTAAGGTTCTGAAAGACTTCTGATAGATTCTCTGAAAGACATTTGAGGACAACAATCCTGAGATCATTTAACGGGTGAGCGTGTATGCCTTATCTTCTGTTCTTCCTCCTCAGTTTCTTTCTTCATTATCTCTCCTTTCGTCAACTCTCGCTCTCTGCTCCTTCTCTCTATTTCCATCTTCTCTTCTTCCTTTTTCTTCCCGACTGAACACCTCGATCAGCGGAGTTTGTTGAAGAGGCGCCACCACACAAGCACAGGATGGAGGCCGAGAGACATCTAGTGAACGTCAGCGGAACTACGAAGCTCATGTAGCCGTCGTTGTCCGGTTTGGCGCCAACCCTCTAAAACAAGAAAAGAAAAGGACATTAAAATACTGTATAATTTAATTGTTTAAAAAATGAAATAAAAGAAAAAACAGAGAAGGATGTAAGAGATACGATTAAGAATCAAGATCATAGTATGATTGCTAGTAACCGAAAGAAAAAAAGGTCAAGAATAGAAACTTTCGATTCAGAACAACAAATCAATTTCACAAAGAAAAAAGAAACGGGGAATGCGCTAATGAAATATATCAAAATCCTAATCACTGCACAAAAAACAAACAAACAATATAAATAAAAAAATAAGAAAAAAACCCTACAAAACTTAAAATCCAATCGAAGACAACTCCCCAAACAGCAGAAAAGAAAGAAGAAGAAGAAGAAGAAGAAGAAGAAAAAAACACCCTAAACCCGAGCATCAACCCAGCCTCCCCTCCCCCCTCTCCCCCTCCCCCAACCCCGAACCCGCTGCTCAACCAAAGCCCGAACCCGACAAAAGCCGAAAGCCAAGCCGGATCCACCCCAGCATTAAGCCCGTTTTAAGCCCGTTACCGCCCCCCCCCCCGTGTCCATCGCCGGGGGGGGGGGAGTCGCGACGCACCACCTACCACGTGCACCTCATTATCGCCTTATCATTATCATTATTGATTGTAATCGGGGGGGGGGGGCGTCCGGTCAGGAGAGGGGAGGGGGAGGGTGGAGAGGGGAGAGGAGGGAGGGTAGAGAGGGGAGATGGGGAGAGGAGAGGGAGAGAGAGGGGAGGGTGAGGGGGAGGGAGGGGAAGGGGAGGGGGAGGGGGGGAGGGGGTGGCTGTAATTAGCTTGACCCTCCCGATGGCATCAAAGTGACATCGCAGATCGATTGGGATGTCGGAAATGGGGAGATTTTTGTGCTGTTTGCGATAAATGTTTTCTCTCATCTCTCTTCGACTCTGCTCTCTCTCCTATCTCGATCTCTCTCTCTTCTCTCTCATCTCATCTCTCCTCTCTCTCTCTCTCTCTCTCTCTCTTCTCTTCTTTTTCTTTTTTTTTTTACTTATTTTTACTTCATCGATATCGTTAATGGGTGTATTAGCGTGCGTGTTCGTTCTGAATGATGATAAAGTACTCCAGAATGTTTGAAAATGATATGGGAGTATTTACAAGAAATATTCAAAAATAAGAAAAAAAACAAAACAAAAAACTTGCTTCTCTCTCTTTCAGCCCTTCTCCCCCGTCTTCTCTCTCCTCCCTCCGTCCCCTCCCTACCCCCCCTCTCTCCCTCCCTCCGTTCCGTCCCTCTCTCCCTCCCCACCCCTCTCCCCCTCCCCCTCCTCCCTCATATACCCCCCGCCAAGCGCCAACAGGTAATAACAATATGATCGGGTAATTAGCTAAGCATCCTGTAAGACAACCGTGATGACCAGGTGTCCTAAGCAAACATGTGCACGTGGCCCGGTGACGACACGTGCGCAGGTAGAGACAGGTAAACAGGAAACTTGTGTGTCAAGGTATTTAAGTTATGCTTTAATCGGACCTCTCTATGTACTCAGTAATGAATGTATATATATGCAAATAACAAGATTGAAGAGAGAGAAATTCAACAGATGTCATAATCACAATAAATATATCTATATCGCAGTAACGAAATTTACGTCACAGTTAAACCTACATAGTATAATAGAATATAATAGAACAAAATCAACATATCTAGTAAATACAGATTTGGGGAAAATATTTACCTGAGCGTGTTTGAGCGCGAACTGGTCCCCCAACTTGCGCAGGTCGCGTCCGACGAGCCGCCATGCTCTCTGTTGCGCCGTCTCCCCGTCCTCCGTCTCATCTCCTCTCTTCCTCTCCTCTCCCTCTTCATCCCCGTCTCCTTTATCCCCTCGCTCCCCTCTCTCCTTCCCCTCTTGGGCCGCCTGCACGTCCCTGTAGCGCGGGACTTCCCACGTGAGCTGCGGGAGGTCGTGCTGCCGCCGGTCCAGGAACCGCGGGTCCTTCCGCACCTTCTGCCGCACCTCCTGGATGTGCTTGAGGCCCGCGGTCAGGCGCTCGCCCTCCCTCGCGGGCGATCCGACGCCGCCCACGCGCGAGGGGGAGAGGGTGGGCGTGCTCCGGCTCGGGGTTGGGGGCGTGTCCCGGGGGGCGTGGGCTGAAGGCGTGGGCGGCCTCCGAGCTCGGGACGCGGCGCTGGGCTTCTCCGGGAAGAGGAAGTGGTAGGAGTGGGCGCGACGGAGAGGCGACGCTGGGGGCGTGTTGCTCGTGACGAGGTCGGGCAGGGGGGGCAGACCTGGGGGAGAGGGGGCGTGGCCGTTAGTGGATGTCAGACAAGGGCGTGAAAGGGAGGGAAGGAGGAGAACGAACAAAAATGGTATAGGAGGAGGAGGAAGAGGAGAAAGAAGAAGAAGAAAAAAGAAGAAGAAGAAGAAGAAGAAAAAGAGGAAAAATAAGAAATAGAGCAACAATAATAAACAAAAATAGCAATAATAAACAACAATTAAAAGGAAACCAAATGCGAGTATATGTCGGCAACGCGGCGAGAGCTTCCCTTCCACTATCACGCACACCTGTTTACATCTCATAATTACGCGGGCGTTTTATCAATGCTGTTATTAGTGGTATGATAATTATGCGTCGCAAATTACCGCCATTACGCAAATATACTGCCGTTTAACCACATGTGCGGCTACTCTACCGGTCTTTATCTTGATCAGATACATTCAACACACCAAAATATAAGCAATTTTTTTCCATTCAAATTTGCCATTCATAAATATTGCTAGAAATACGTATATGTTGTAATAAGGGAAACAACATAAGACCACAGATAAATGCATATTACAAACACCGATAACAGAACTGCAAGAGAAAAAGAAACATATATAAATCCAACAAAGATTCAAGTGTGAACTACAACACAAAAAATAAAAACACATCTTCTAAGATTCGTGTGTACAACAGAAAAAAAATAAAACATTTTCTAAGATTCATGTGACCTACAACAGAAAAAAAAAAAAAACACATCTAAGAGTCAAGTGCGAAGTACAACAAGAAAATAATACATATAAAATTTCTAAATATGTACAAACACACATTCAAAATCCCTCTCTAATTCCAGGAATCTCAATAATTCACATCCAATAGAGCATTACTGGAGCATAAACCCACGAGAGCGGATTCCCAGAACACATTACTCAGGTGAATAAAAAAGGCGCTCCGTGAACCCTGATTCAAGCCATTCCGATGAATATCCATTAATTATTCATTAATTGCCCCTTCCTTATTCATCACCGACCGACTTATTCATCTCCTTCATTCTAGCTTCGTGTACCTAGTGTCGCAATTACTGTTATTAATGGTGAATAATTTTGTTAATTGAATGGGGAAAAGTGTGTTATGTGACTGTTCGTGCCATAGCATGTGTATGTTTGCTGTTTCGTGTTTACATTAGAACTGAGGAAAGAGATAAAAGGGAGAGAGGGAGGAGGAGGGAGTGAGAGTGAAGAATGAGGGAGGGAGGGGGTAGAGAAGAAAGAGATAGCTAGATAGATAGAGATAGATAGATGGAGAGAGGGAGGGAGGGAGGAGGAGAGAGAGAGAAGGAGAGGGAGGGAGAGGGAGAGGGAGAGGGAGAGAGAGAGAGAGAGAGAGAGAGAGAGAGAGAGAAGAGAGAGAGAAGAGAGAGAGAGAGAGAGAGAGAGAGAGAGAGAGAGAGAGAGAGAGAGAGAGAGAGAGAGAGAGAGAGAGAGAGAGAGAGAGAGAGAGAGAGAGAGAGAGAGAGAGAGAGAGAGAGAGAGAGAGAGAGAGAGAGAGAGAGAGAGAGAGAGAGAGAGAGAGAGAGAGAGAGAGAGAGAGAGAGAGAGAGAGAAGAGAAGAGGAGAGAGAGAGAGAGAGAGAGAGAGAGAGAGAAAGAGAGAGAGAGAAAAACCATCAAAATAACAAAAAATAACGACACCAAAATGGCAGAAAACATTCCAAACACAAGAGATGACATGAAAGTGAAAGTGAGATGAGTAACGGTACGGTCTGCACCTGCCCCGCCTGACTACCGCGACCTGTCCAAACATGACGTAACAAGTCCGAACAGGTTGGCTCCCTGTCATGCACTCGCGCCGTGTCACTGACCCCCAGGGGCGTACGCGTGCCTGACTCAACTTGTCCCTGTCGGGCGTGCGTCATTGCGAATCTCATGTACCCAATACGTTGCATGCCGTAGGAAATACTTTCCGTGTAAGTACTAAAAAATCGACTTTACCGTCTCGGATGAATGTAAAAACAACAACAACAACAACAATACACGACCCTTATTTCATATCTATTTCTATAATCTAAACAAGTACACATATGATTCACCCAAGTAGGAATTCGAGACCAACTTACCGGTGGTGGAAGCTCGAGTATTCACCCAACTCATGGTTTCACAGTCGGTAATATTATGATCATCGTAGGAAAAGCACTGCACTTCACAATCGTCCATTTCACTCGTGTAGCCAAAAGGCACTGCACCAGCATGAGCAATAAGGCTGATCATCATGCATGAGGAACCGAATGTCGTATGTCCTTGTTTTGCACCACAGTTCGAAAAGCACGTCTGGACTGCGCGA